CCTGCTGATTTGCATCAGTGAAATCTTTTTTTGTGGAGGGAGAGGTCCCTCACTGCTAGCATCGTGGGAGACCCACATGTGCTTGTTACTGTATGGAGTGCCTGCACCCGTTCAGTCTGATGGGATCCACCAGGCTCTCCAAGAAGTTCCCAGCCCCTGCTTATCCCTGCCGAACAGATCCCCAGAATACACGCTCTGCGGTGGGACACGGCAAGGCGTGACGGGCATGGAGCTGGCGGGCCCTGGAGGCAGCACCTTGGGAAGGAAGTACCCCCGGAAGTGGACGTCGCAGGTCAGGGTGTGTGGAATTCCCACGGGGAGGATGTTGGCGAATCTCGTGACCTCGTTGATCACGGCGTTGGTGTACGGCATTTGGCCTCGGTGGTGCATGGCTGGGCTGCGGTTCTGGCCGACGACGCGGTCGATCTCCTCTTGCACCTTGCCTGCGGAGGCAGGATTTGAAGGGGTCAGCTTGGCTTGCAGCCCACGGGGCAAAGGCCACCAGCAAAGTAATTTGTTAAAGGACAAGCTCAGCTTCGGTCATTGGGAGGGACCTCAATAGGTCATCGAGTCCAACCCCCTGCTCCGGACAGGAAAGAGCACTGGGTCACACGACCCCAGCCAGGTGCTTGTCCGGTCTCCTCTTGAAGACCCCCGAGGTAGGGGAGGGCACCTGCTGATCAAACACGGGCCCGCTTTCTATAAAGAGCATGTCCCCAATAAGCCCGTTAGCTCCTGTTTCACATCCACGTTACCTTGCACCTCCGGGTATTTGACTAAGAGCAGGAATCCGTATCTCAAGGTGGAGGAAGTTGTCTCTGTCCCAGCACCAAATAGTTGCGTCACGCTATCCACCAGGTTTGCGGCGTTGAATTCACTCAGTGGGTTTTGCTTTTCCTGGAATGAAGGGAATGAGAAGAGCCCGTAGCAAAGACCGGCAGCGCAGCATCGTAAATGAAATGGGATTTGAGTCGTGCCCGGAGAAAGGCCTCTGTCCACCAAGCCCTGGGTGACGCTCTGGAGGGGAGGGGGAGGCTTTGGGCTGGGTTGTGTAGGTGGCTCTAGCTCTGCAGTTCCCCGTCCACGACCCCGTTGTGGCTGAAGAGCCTGTGGACCCTCTGTATAACCCCCGGTAGCAATGACAACCGCCCCCACTTACCTGTTCCATCCTGATGAGGAAGGAGTCAATGTAGTCCCGAGGGCAGCTGGGGTCCAGGCTCTGCTGGTTCATCCTCACCCTCTCCAGGATAAACTCGTGTAGTGTCTTGTAGATGCGCGGCATCTGCTTGTGCGGCCCAGGTAGGAATTGCAGGATCCTTGGACAGATCTCGTAGAGCTGCGGGCAGACCGGCGGGGGAAGACGGCTCAGAGGGGCAGGGAGGTCTGCTCCAGCTGGGGCCTGGGTCCCATTCTCACTTATTTTAGGGGGAGCAGGACCGGGCAGTGTGGGCAAGGGACTGTCCAAGCAGATGCTCTCCTGGCTCCAGGACAGCAGAGAGGAGCTTTAAAACCAATGAGAACGCTGGGCGCTCTTCCTCTTGGAGAGTCTGAGGCCCAGCTGATGTGGGAGGTTTGGGCTTGTTGCAGTGTAGACCGGACTGGGCCCCTTTACCCCGTGAGCAATGACAGGAGCATGTTGCAGAGGCCCCCACCCCCTTCCTGCCCCAGAAACATCTCCTACCAGGCTCCAGTGGGTGCTTATTTCCAGAAACAAGTTGTTGATGATGCCCATCAAGTTCAGAAACTTTTTGTCCTCATATTCGAAGCGGTTCCCAAAGGCAATGGCACAGATGACGTTGGAGACGGCGTAGTAGATGGGGAGGGTGGGGTCGAAGGGAGAACCTGGTTGGCAGGGGAGAGTTTGGGGTTGATGACCAGCCTCCTCGTCATTGCTTGTGGTGTGTCCTGACGCTGCGGGGGTTACATGTTATCGGGGGGTAGGGTCTTTAGTGGGGTTGGGTTGCAGCCCCTCATCTCTTGCAGGTGTCACCAGGCTCACTTCTAATTAGGTGGCGAGGGTCCGGCTCACCGTCCTCAGTCGGCTTGGACGTGGGGTGTGCAGCACCCCCTAGACTCCAGGGATGTGTGCACACCACGAGCTAGTGCATAGCCCCGTCCTGCCCTTGGCGGTACTGCCTGGTGTACCTGCACTAGCGAGCTGGGCTGAACGTGTCTGCCCGTGCTGCTGGGAGCACTGGGGGAGTGCAGCGATGACGTGTGCTCCTGGAAAATAGTTACCCCACGCGGGAAGTGAGCATGATGCTCATTGAGGATTCGGGCTCTGCAGGGTTGGCTGCCTGCTCTGGATTTTCAGAAGAATCTGTTACTTAAATGGTGCCTTCCTCGGGCTGGCGGAGAACTCCCCTTTCCTCTCTCTTGCCCTGCTGGTGTAATGGGAGCTGCTGGGCTCTGAGGACTTGTGCCAGCTCTTTCCCGAGACCCCGAGATGGGAGTGGAGCCCCTTTGAAAACTGGTGCCTGGGTGATTTGTGTTACCAACGCCCGTTCTCTAAGAACGGACCAGAACCACCTGAGTTTGTGGCAGCTGCAGAGCAGTCTGCAAAACAGCTCATGTGCTAATACAATTGACACCGACCTTTGGTTTTCCTCATCTCCTCCACCAGGTACTGGGCTTCCTCCTGGATCCGCTCCTCAATGCTGCTACCCCCCACCCCAAAATTCCTCAGGATTTCGGAGGAAAATCGACGGAGCTTCTTCCACCGTTCCCCGTTAGCCGTAAAAACACCTAGGTGGACAAAGAACAAATAAAGATGGGTAAAGCCTAGAGAACGCAGTAGGAAGCCGGTGTCGATGTCTGGAGCCATGAGAGACTGTACAGAACTGTGGGTGTAGCGAGCAATGGAGCAGAGCCCTTCGCCGATGGTCTGCTCGCTAAGGTCAGGACAAAGTTGTTGATCTCCACACACCCCTTTCGGACTCCCTGGCTGGAGAGGATGCCATAATGCTTTTGGAGTCCTCCAGCTGCAGGGCACGTCACGGGGGCTGTATGGGTGCTTGGACCTGAAACGGCAGTGCATTTGGACCGTTTCAGATGTTGCATCTCTTGGCACCCTGGGAGTTCATTCTAGTTCTACCAGGATACTTAATGACGGTGTCAGAAGCCCCAGACACTCAGCACGTTTGCACTGGTTTAGTGTCTTTGTGCTGGTGAAAGACTGGAGGGGTCAGAGACCCTCCAGCTCTGTTGATGCAACTCGTTTGCATCAGTACAGGGTGAACATGGGGAAAGACCAGCCTTAAAAAGGCAGAGCAAGGTCCCTTGCTGCAAGCTGGAAGCTGAATGGCGACCAGTTCAAGTTAGACCTTGGTGGGGAAACGTCAAGGCACAGTGATCAATCTTGGGAAAAACAGTGAGGAGCTGTGTAGGGTTGGGTTCTGCTTCAGGCGGGCTCTAGAAGCCAGGCGGGCTCTGCGAGCTCTGCTCCAGCTCGGCCAGGACTCGTGGTCCTGACACAGGAGTCTGCGGTGCGGGTCCATGGCTTGTTCTGGCAAGACTGAGACTGGACACTTAAACGCTTTTCATGTGCCTCTCTGCTGCCACCACTAAGGAGCTGGTCTGCAGCAACGTGGGTTCTTGGCCACGGTGGCTTGAATGAGGGTAAGTGAGTTAAATGACCTTTCCTCTGACATGAGATGCATATATTGGGGCTTCTGCATTAGTTACGTGGCAAGTCTTTAAGAGGAGGCTAGATGAACACCTTGCTGGGGTCGTTTGACCCCAGTGCTCTTTCCTGCCCATGGCAGGGGGTCGGACTTGATGATCTGTTAAGGTCCCTTCCGACCCTAGAAACTATGAAACTATAAATAGTTTAGGGATTCCTGAGGGCCCAGGTATTTGAACTGCACCGTTGGCTCTGTGCTGGGGAGGGGGTATTCCCTGAGGTTGCTAGGCCGGGTGCCAGTCTGGGATCGTCTTCTGAGTAACAGCGTTGTGGCCCCTAGGTTTGCTCTGAGCTGAGACTATCGTCAAAGCCTCATCCTTGCTCTCACTCACCATAACCACTGAAGAGTCTGTCCACTATGGCCATTTTAGCTCTGTCGCTGAACTCCTCTGCATGGTCCACCAGGGCTTCCTTCACCACATCGTAGCCGCAGAGAACCACGACCCGCCGGAAGCCCATATACATCGTGAACACGGGGCCGTACTTCTCTTTGATCTGCGTTGGGTGTGAAGGGGAAAGGAGGGTGAGATGCTGCAGGGAGCAGGGAGCCTCCCTCCACCCAGGCAAACGAGGGATGCGTAGCAACGGCCTGAGCAAGGTGAGTTTATAGCAAAGTGCTGACTTTGGTGGGGTGTTGCTACGTATGAGTGACGACAGCTGGCCTGAGTTACCTTACAGCAAACGTGTTTGCCAACACCCGCCTTGAATGTGGTGTTTTCAGTTCTACTATTGCAAGAAAAGTGGGATGACCAATGTGCAGGACGGGGCTCACCACTCTTGACTCTCGCTCATGCTCCTGTAGACCGGTGAGCTAGCGTTCTCCTTTTGGCCACATAAGGACCGGCAGGGAAGCAGCAGTTATCTGCTCAAAGCTGCCAGCCTTTAGCTACAGATTGAAACCCCCTTATTCTTGCTTACCGCTTGGGTCTTGTTCCTGCTGCCCTGGCCAAGAGACAGGTGGGGCCAGGGATCAAGGCCTGGTTCTGTGATGGGTGCCAGTGAGCAGACCCTAGTTCACAGAGGAGAAAATGAACTGCTTTGCTGTCAGGCCTTGTATTGGCTGTGCTGTCTCGGGTGGGATTGCTGGTGGGGTCACAAATGTGGGAGGCTGACTTGCCCCGCGATGGGTGAGCCCTCCTTGTGTGGGAGTCAGCACTGGGCATAAGTGCTCTTTGGGTACCACATGCAGGCCAAAGAAGCACACCTCAGGGTTGAGGGTAGTCTTATGTACAGCTTATATTATGGTTATCTGCACTGGTTTGGATAGGGCTCAGGCAGGGGGTTGGACTAGATGTCCTCTGGAGCTCTCTCCCAGCCTAACTTGGCTGTGACTCTAACTTACTGCATCTGCATGGTTTTTTTTCCCATTGGATCTGTCATTACAACCGATAGCCCCTCTCAGTTGTCTGCCACATCTTTGATGGAAAGTGGATGTTGAGAAGGATGAATGTTCTCTAATTTGGAGTGGGCGCACCCAGGTACCTGTCGTAAAGGTTGTGAGCCGTGCAGTTGGGCTGTTTCAATCTGATCCCTTTCTTGTCTGCCACATCCAAGCAGTTCTGCAAGTCTAGCGGCACCCAACCATTCATAGATTCATAGATGTTAGGGTCGGAAGGTACCTCAATAGATCATCGAGTCCGACCCCCTGCATAGGCAGGAAAGAGT